GCAATATTAGTTTTGGATTGTCTCCAGAACAAACTTTTATGATTAGAAATGTGCTGAAAAAATCTCTCCAACAAACCGAAATTGGAGGAATAAATATTCACACGGGCTAATAATTCTGACTTTAGCTGTCTGTGTGCATGTTTGAGTGTACTGACAAAAATGGTTCATTAAATTTATAATAAAAATGTAAAGTAAGTGGTTGTAAACAATTTATATTGGCTGGAAATAAACAAATTAAATGCAGTAATATTCAACTTAATGTTTGTTTATATATATATATATATTTCCCAAATAAATTGTTTTACGTACCTCAAAAATTTTAGCACCTAAACAAACAAACACACACACAAAAACCCTGAGCTAAAAAGCATTCTAGCGCTCTTATTAAAATAATAATAAACTACTGTTTTTTTTGTTGGTCTTAAAAATAGTTTGCCACTCATCAGTAAAATCACTTTTGTGTGAAACACTTTCTGAAAACAGCAGCTCAATCTGTACATTTCAACATGAGACAGATGCGGGAGATTTTGTAAGGTGTGAATCATTTATAAACAACAATAAACAAATTGCAGAAAAAGGTCAAATAAGCAGTGCTTGATGATTCCCCCGAGTCAAACAGTATTCAGGTTAGAGAAATTGTATAATTAAATGTAAAAGAACCGTATATAGTCTTCATTATTATAACTATTCAGTGAAATGAATCTTCATTAAAGTTATAAATGTTGTACTTTTTTAGCCTGAATGCTTTAAACTCTTGAAGTTTCACAAACTAATAAACACAAATGACCTGGGGCCTCATGTACGAAGACTTGCGTGGAAATCTTACTAAAACATTGCGTACGCACAAAGCTGTAAATGTGCGTACGCAGAAAAAAATTCAGATGTATGAAACACTGCGTACGCCGAATCTCACGCATATTCTTTTGTACATCTGAATGAACGTGAAACTGAGCGCAACATGCACGAGCGCAAAACCCCTCCCTGCCTCCTCCCCTGTATGAATATGCTAATGACTATGCTAATGGCAAAACCCAACGAAAAAGCAATGGAAAAAGCAAGCAAAAAGAGAAACTTTGAACAGAATGTGAATTGAAGGTGCTGCTTTCGGAGGTAGACAGGAGAAAAGCGGTGTTATTTGCAAGTTTGTTCTCCGGAATTAACAACAAAAGAAAAAAATAGAGTGGGAGAGTTTAGCTGATGCTGTTAACACAGTTGGGTCTGAACATCGCACTGAGTGCATCAAAGATAGAAATACTGTGGTTTATATCTGTAAAATGTTGCGGTACCCTTACCAGTCTCAGTGGTGCACCTTGTAAGACGCATATGATCATGAATTGTTCTGTTCGAGCATGAACTCGGCTCGAATCCAGCGTCTGATGATTTCTTTCTTGTTTTTTTCCCCCGCAACATATCAGATTTTGCCCACTATTTATCACGAGAAAGACTAGTAGGAATCATCAATAAGTTCATATCAATAAGCATCATATTTTATTTGCACATTTATTGAATGGAAATGTTTCTGATTCACGCATGCAAATTCATCTTCAGATAGTGTCTTTATAGCAATGTGCGTGCAGTAGATAGCTCAGATTACATTGGGAAAACAGGCGACTGCTGCAAATTGTGCTTTAATGTTTGGCTGGTCAAATGTATGGTATGGAAACCTTATATACCTGCTGAACCCGTCTCATACAGCTGCCATTGCAAGGCTCAGACACTTTGTAGAGAGCAATTTAACACAACTGCCTCTAGGAGTCGCCAATGGAAATAAAACAGACACGCACAAAAAATGTGCGTACGCCTGCCAGAAAGCTGCCGTGAAGTTGCGCACATTCCCACGTTCAGTTCATTGTTAGTAAATCCAAACGTGAGCGATTCTGAGCGTGAAACCTGGCGTACGCAAAGTTTTTGTGCGTACGCAGCGTTGATACATGAGGCCCCTGGGGCCTTATGTACGAAGACTTGCGTGGAAATCTTACTAAAACATTGCGTACGCACAAAGCTGTAAATGTGCGTACGCAGAAAAAAATTCAGATGTATGAAACACTGCGTTCGCCGAATCCCACGCATATTCTTTTGTACATCTGAATGAACGTGAAACTGAGCGCAACATGCACGAGCGCAAAACCCCTCCCTGCCTCCTCCCCCGTATGAATATGCTAATGACTATGCTAATGGCAAAACCCAACGAAAAAGCAACGGCAAAATCAAGCAAAAAGAGAAACTTTGAACAGAATGTGAATTGGAGGTGCTGCTTTCGGAGGTAGAACGGAGAAAAGCGGTGTTATTTGCAAGTTTGTTCTCCGGAATTAACAACAAAAGAAAAAAATAGAGTGGGAGAGTTTAGCTGATGCTGTTAACACAGTTGGGTCTGAACATCGCACTGAGTGCATTAAAAAAAGAAATAGTGTGGTTTATATCTGTAAACTGTTGCAGTACCCTTAGCAGTCTCAGTGGCGCACCTCATAAGAAGCATATGATCATGTACTGACACGTTCGAGCACAAACTCGGTTCGAATCCAGCGTCTGATGAACTCTTTCTTCTTTTTTTCCCGCTACATATCAGATTTTGCCCACTATTTATCACGAGAAAGACAAGTAGGAATCATTAATAAGTTTGTGCATCATATTTTATTTGCACATTTATTGAATGGAAATGTTTCTGATTCACGCATGCAAATTTATCTTCAGATAGTGTCTTTATAGCAATGTGCGTGCAGTAGATAGCTCAGATTACATTGGGAAAACAGGCGACCGCTGCAAATTGTGCTTTAATGTTTAGCTGGTCAACTGTATGGTATGGAAATCTTACATACCTACTATATGAACCCGTCTCATACAGTTGCCATTGCAAGGATCAGACACTTTGTAGAGAAGAATTTAACACAACTGCCTCTAGGAGTCGCCAATGGAAATAAAACAGACACGCACAAAAAATATGCGTACGCCTGCCAGAAAGCTGCCGTGAAGCTGCGCACATTCCCACGTTCAGTTCATTGTTAGTAAATCCAAACGTGAGCGATTCTGAGCGTGAAACCTGGCGTACGCAAAGTTTTTGTGCGTACGCAGCGTTGATACATGAGGCCCCTGATCTCGAACTCTCCTCACATGCTCATGACAGGCGGGAGCCCTGGGCTCAATTATTCCCGAGCTCAGGGTTCTCTCCCGGGACAGCATGCCAAACCTGCTATGATCATCAAGCAATATCTAAGTGTGAACTCTTGAAATGTCTAAAACACATGCTAATGATAAAGATTCCCTCTGTTATAGTTATACTCTGTAATGACTCCACAGATCTCATGTGTTCTCAACTGTTGTGTTGATCAACTGTAATCCCGACTCAACACTGAGATTTGACTATTGTGGACACACACAATGAGACATCAATGCTGAAACCATACATTGAGCAGCCCAAACATATACAGCTGAATCAGAATTATTAGCCCTGTTTATTTTTCCCAATTTCTGATTAACAGAGCAGATTTCTTCAACACCTTTCTAATCATAATAGTTTAATAACTCATCTCTAATAACTGATTTATTTTCTCTTTGCCATGATGACAGTAAATAATATTAGACTAGATATTCTTCAAGACACTTCTATACAGCTTAAAGTGACATTTAAAGGCTTCACTAGGGGTAATTAGGTTAACTAGGCAGGTTAGGGTAATTAGGCAAGTTATTGTATAACGATGGTTTTTCTGTAGGCAGCTTAAACAGGCTAATAATATTGACCTTAAAATGGTTCTTAAAAAAATTTAAGCTGCTTTTATTCTAGCCTAAATAAAACAAACAAAACTTTCACCAGAAGAAAAAATATTATCAGACATACTGTGAAAATTTCCTGAATCTGTTAAACATCATTTGTGAAATATTAAAAAAGAGAAAAAAATTCAAAAGGGGGCAAAAAATTCTGACTCAACTGTGTTTATATTCCTTAAATATATTCTAAAATATTAAATATAAAATGATTAAAATATTACATTAATAATATCATTACATATAATTAATATTACCAATTTACAGAGATAAACGACAAATATAAATAAATATATATATAAACAACAATCAATAAATGTGATTATATTGGAAGTCAATGGGGCAAAAACAGCCCCCAACATAACCAAAGGTGGGTCAGTGTGCTCAATTTTCAAAACATTTTCCCAAAATATGTCAAAATAAGATTTGTCAGCAAAAAACACTTCATTTTCTGAAACTCAAGTTGGGGCCAAATTAAGAGCGTACTCACACTGTGCTATCCGAACTGTGCCCAGGCCCGTTTCCCGGATCGTTTGACAAGTGTGAGTGCTCTGAATCGGGCGCGGTTCACTTAGGCTTTGGCGCGGTACGCTTGTGTGTGAGTGGAAAACGCGCCAAAGCCCGAAACTGAAAGCGAGACGTGACTTTAAGGGGCTGTTTCATATGTGTTTATTAATCATTCTGACTGTTCAGTGAACACAAACTGCCGTAGATTATTAAAGACGAGAACCCCTCACTGCACCACAGCTGCACCTTCAGCAGACCTCCTAATACCTGCAGCACGAGAGCTTTATGATTGATTATGAGCGTCAAAAGTGTTGGATCAGTTCAGTGAAATATCTGACTGTGTGTCACTGCATATCAACCGATATAACTAGAGAAATCTCCACTGTGCTGAGCGAGAGCGCTTCTCTACTGAACAGCGCAGCATTGATGAAGTAAGCGTGCTCAGGTCTGAATGTAATGTGAGTGCGGGCCGTCGGGGGAGCAGGGAGGGGGGACGAGCTTACTTTGGCCCGGTTCAAGGCAACTGTACATAGTGTGAGTACAGCCTGAGACTCAAAATCAGCCTAGAGTGGAGGAAAACGGCCCAACAGCAGTCACTCCAGTAAATGAAGTGTGCGGTTTGTCCAAACTATGAGTTATTTTGGGGACAACTTCACTGTTTAATGTTTAAAACACTTAAATGTTTAAACAGAGCAATTCTGAACGTTAGCTGAAGGTGTTCATGTAAACAGCTGCCTTACTGTCACTCAGCGTTTATTAGAAAACAAGACAAACACGTCATCATCAGCCAGCGCTTGAGCCAAAATGGCGGATCTGGTTGCACCGTGAGGACGGGGCCGAGGGCCTCACGGTCAGCCTGAGCGTCCAGCGGTGCGACCGGCAGATGGAATCATGGGAAAGTGGGCGTGGCTTGATGCTGGTGTGGAGAGCAGCGTGACCCCGTGTGTTTGGCCCCGGGCCCTCATCATCATCATCATCATCGTCATCAGTACAGGCTCCAGGGTGAGGATGAGGATGAAGGCTCCGTGGGGCCCGACTGCTTCCCACACACGCAGGTTCAGTCCATCTTCTCCTTCTGCACCAGCCGCGGGGCGTCCACAAAGTCCCGTCCGTTGAAGAGGATCACGCCGCCGGTCACCACGCTGGCGGAGCCCCAGAACAGCACGTACGCCAGAGTCTCCGTCCACGTGTCCCCTGATGGAGGAAACACACACTCATTATACTCACACTGGTGAGCGTTTCTCAGCCATAGATATATACACTAGATATCGCATACAGACCCCGAGCATGCATCAATACTACACTTTTACAGGGCTCACATCACCTGTGCGCGCGAGTAATCCTCCTCTCATACGGTATTCACCTTCTTTGTCTCGCGTGAACACAGTTATTGTTGTCAGTCGTGCTGTTTCTCGATTCTAAGATCACATTTTGGGCCATGCTTATTGTCGAACTCTGCTTTAAGAAAACTACAATGTCAAAATTATTGCCAACCTGCCGAAGTGTCTAGTGGGAGCGGCTGTCCAACCCGCCAGAGCTGAAATCTACCCACATTTGGCGGGTTGGCGGGTTTTATTGTAAAGCCCTGTATATAGTATTTATGACACTGGGCATTAATAAGTGCACCCCATTTTAAAGATGAATATTTTTCTCCATTTCTCAGTGAATATTTTAGTGCATTTGAACAAAACAGATTTATTAAAAAGATAAATGTATTAAATATATACTTTAGAAGCAGAACATCTTCACAAATGGAAAGAGAATACATTTAAATTCATGCAAAATAAAAAATCAAGCACATGACAGCAGTCCTCAGGTCAGTCTTTACACTGGCTTCCAGTTACATTCAGGATAGATTTTAAAGTAGAAACAAGTTTATTTCCCTTACCGCACCGGCATATTAATAACCCACGAGCTCTTCTGAAATAAGACAGAGTTATGTTCTTGTTCAGAAATGCTTCTTGATTTAAGAATTTTTAGTTACAAAATCAACAAAACAATAAGAAACGAGACAAACCCTCTTACAGTGCATATTTCATGTAATGTGCTGAATAAACAGACTTACCCCGTATGGTGATTTCTCCTCTTTCACCAAAAACCACTCTTGGAGTTTGATGAGGAACCGGCAGGGGGAATCTCTCAAAATGGTCATCATCACCACTTCCTTTGGGAGCTCTTCAGGATAGCCAGGCTAAAGATAAAGAGCACATTAGCTGCATATCAACAACATATAATCCTGTTTTCCAATATAACGGTTAAAGAAAATCTGTAAATCAGCAGTTTCCCGTATTTTGTGTTTCATGTTTGTTTTGTGTGTTTATTTATGCTTTTGAATTGCATTGTGGGACATATATTATCTGTACTGGTCTTGTCAATTGTGGTGTAAAAACCTGGTAATTAGGCTTCTGACAATATAAGATTTTCATGTTGTGATCAATTGCGGAAGCTTTATTATTAAGATATTGAGCTAAGCTGTGAAACATTACTTTAACAGGGATAATACTTAATGTATTGCCTATTAAATACATGCAAGAAGATTATAAAGTACAATAGTTAACACTAAAATTAAGCATAAACTAAACTACTTTATTTAAATTAATTGATGTTAACGAGGACCTTACTGTGCAGAGTTAACAAACACAAGGCTTACAAATAGTCACTGAATTTTCAATGTCGTAGCCCAGATTAACATGAGAAAATCTTCATGTTTAAAAACAAATAGCCTATTAAGTCTTCAACATGCCGCAGAATACAACAATCTGAATATTCTTTAAAGACAAGCTAAACGTGTAAATAATAATTATCCATGGCATGTTAGATGCAACAATATTGTGCATGTTCATTATTATGATATGTATGATTACTGGAAATAAACTGCCTGTACTTTATCTTTTATATATAGAAATATAAAGGTCATCATTAATAAAGTAAAAAAAAAAAAAAATATATATATATATATATATATATATATATATATATATATATATATATATATATATATATATATATATATATATATATTTTTTTTTTTTTTTTTTTTTTTTTTTTTTTTTTAATGTTTTGCATATAGGTCCAGATAATATATAAAATGACATGAACTGTTTTTTCTTTTTTCAATTTCCATTCCTTACTTTTCTGAGGATTAAGAATTTTTTAGATATTTGGACTAGAAACAAGTCAGAAACTCTTAAGTAAGAAAGGGATTTTTGCAGAGTATTTATACGCAACTTTTTTTTTTAGCGAGCATTAAGAATTTGATGCAAGGATTCAGCTTCATTTAAAGAAAACAGACTATCTCTAGTGATATTGTTGTCAATAAATAAATGTAAAAAAAAAAAAATCTAATGTTGTCTGGGTTTTTGTTTGTCAGGTAGCTAAATGGTTCTTGGAATTTTTGAAAGTAGTGAATTGTTTGTCTAAACGTTCAGCAGCTGTCTGGTAGTCAATACCACTACATTATTATCACAGCACATCATTACTCCATATTACACTGCATTGTTTGGTTATATTTTTGTTATTTTCAAAATGCAACTTTATATATGAACAATACAACAAAATGCATGTTAACCATTACACTTTCCAACTAATTGTTTAATTTTTTTTATTAAATGTATCTAAATTACTTTGATATTGGGCTTTTGCATATGTGAAATTGTTTGGTGAGTGTATCAATTCTGCATATTATCTAGTGAGTTTATAACTTACTTTCTGATAAATTAACTTAGCGCTCATATTTAGCGTAATCTAATTAAAATACATGTTTTTGTGAACAGGACATTTAATAATGTAGGAGAGTTGACTTCAAATGTATTATTTGGCCATGTATCTTTTATCCCCTACTGGACGCATTAGGAACAACAGGGGCGTAAAACTGTGGAGCGTAAAACTGTCTGGATCCAAGTCTGCAGACGCCCCATATAGGATCCATCTTCAACAAAGCAGCGACACAACGCTACCCCAGATGGTCTTGCAGTGTGAATACATCTGTGACACGACTACTTTCAAAATCATGCAGTCTGAACTCGGCATAAGGTAGTAAACTACAAACATGGCGGCCTCGCGCGACCAACGCTCAATTAAAGAGGCCTCGGCAAAGATGTTTGAATTCTTGAAAATATTTAAACGTTTTCTGCGATATATTTGATCAGGAACAGCAATGAGAACTTTTAAAAAGACGTTTTTTTAATTTCTGAATGCATAATTATTCTGCTGCCGAGGATGACCTGAGGAGATGATTGACAGGACTCGTAACTAGGCAACACAACGGTCCGTTAAGGAAGAATAACGGTAGTTTGTCACGAAGCTTGCGTTTCTCAGTAAAAAAGTACGGTTTCTTTGAGAAAGTTCAGATAGTACGTCGTATGATAACGTTGGGTCTTACCTTATCTTGAACGTGTCTTTATCTCGGTAACTTCTTTGCCGTAATTATCGCCACAATCCACGGTGACGGTATCTGTTCTCAACTCGCGAGAGTCTCAATGGCGGTGTTACGGTTTAACTGGTGACCGTGTTAACTGGTGTCCCTTTCCAGATGTAAGCTATTCACGTTTGCAGAATGGCAGATTCGTCACTTTTTCACAGCAACAAAACATGTCCATACCAAATAAAGATTCTTATTACTTGGTGTCACTGTCATTGTGTGCATTATTGATTTTAATATCTGTGTAGCAGAACAGTATATAACCAAAATAAATCTAAAAAAATAATTAGAATTTACATGTCTTCAACAGGATTCGAACCCGTGTAGTGAAAAGGTTTAGCACACGTATCAATCAACTTATCTCACTTGAGCTACTCGGAACTTCAAACGAAGCGGTCTGTTTTAATATCTTTGTCAATTAAAACATGCCTTGCTGTGGTTGTGGACCCGTGTTAACATGTTTCCATCGATGTTAACATGTTTACATGTTGTTTAGTTACATGTACTCGCATTAACGTGTTTCTACAAACTCTCCCGCTGATAGAATAGCTCTCTGTGACTAAACGATGCTTCATCAGTTGCTCAAACCATGTTTTTTCTTACTTCTTGACTCATTTACCTGTGCCTTCGGAGTCGTGTTAACTCGTGACCCATGCTCATACATGTAACGTAAATAAAGATTTTATCAAAAAAAAGGAATACAATGACGATATTATTATGCAACATATTATGTCTAATATATGTAATATATATTTCGTATATAATATTATGCAACAGAATATTAATTGAAAATCGCAACATTTCAGTGTATTATCTTGGTCACATCTGTATCAAGGCACATATGAACATGGTTTGGCTAACTTACATGCGATAAAATTATTAAAAGCTGCTAAGCCTACATCAGTGCTTGATAGCTCATTTAGATCACACATGTGTTGCTTTCTAGTGTCTCTTTTGTTAGAAGGTTCGAATCCACATACGAGTTTTGTTTATGTAGCCTGATTTTTTTAAATTCTCTTTAAAATAAAATGGGGGGAAGACTGCGATTTATAACGTATGCTTATTTAGCGGAACATCGTAGTCATTTAGAGCTATTCTGAGAAAATATCAGCTCGTGTAACTTTGTAGACACAGGATAACACGAGTCAATGGGACTATTATATTCTGATCGCATAATATTCTAATATTCTGTTGCATAATATTATATATGAAATATATATTATATATATTAGACATAATATGTTGCATAATAATATCGTCATTGTATTCCTTTTTTTTTTGATAAAATCTTTATTTACGTTACATGTATGAGCATGGGTCACGAGTTAACACGACTCCGAAGGCACAGGTAAACATGAGTCTAGAAGTAAGAAAAAACATGGTTTGAGCAACTGATGAAGCATCGTTTAGTCACAGAGAGCTATTCTATCAGCGGGAGAGTTTGTAGAAACACGTTAATGCGAGTACATGTAACTAAACAACATGTAAACATGTTAACATCGATGGAAACATGTTAACACGGGTCCACAACCACAGCAAGGCATGTTTTAATTGACAAAAATATTAAAACAGACCGCTTCGTTTGAAGTTCCGAGTAGCTCAGTGAGATAAGTTGATTGATACGTGTGCTAAACCTTTTCACTACACGGGTTCGAATCCTGTTGAAGACATGTAAATTCTAATTATTTTTTTAGATTTATTTTGGTTATATACTGTTCTGCTACACAGATATTAAAATCAATAATGCACACAATGACAGTGACACCAAGTAATAAGAATCTTTATTTGGTATGGACATGTTTTGTTGCTGTGAAAAAGTGACGAATCTGCCAATCTGCAAACGTGAATAGCTTACATCTGGAAAGGGACACCAGTTAACACGGTCACCAGTTAAACCGTAACAGCGGCCAATAACGGAAAATTGGATATATCCAGCGAACAAACCAGTTATTTGATACTCCAAGAGGACATTTCTGCGATCATTGACTCAACATGTCTCTTCACACAGTTCTCCTGTCGAGATCGGACAGGGAAATGTGTATTTTCTCAAAGCTGCACCACAGGTTTAGTTCCTCCACCTTTATCTTCCGGAACTTCCGGTCATCCGTCTCAACCACAGGTAAGCTCTCTTTAATTAAACACAGGGGAGAGGGTGATGATTTATGTCAGGAGGGAAGTTGTTCCACCCCGTGTTTCTATAAACCTAATATTTTATACATGTATGAATTTTGTGGACAATTTAGCATCTTTTTTTTTCATTGTATGTAACGTTACTCCAGAATATTTTGGAAAGATTTGGAATTGTTTATTAACAAAAAACGGAGTATAAGACAGAAATTGGTTTATTTGATGTACTGTTTTATTCTGATGACGATAAATTAAACTGTAAAGGACAATATATTTTTAATTTGTTTATGCTGTTAGGAAAATATCATATACATAAGAAAAAGTGGGCTCAATGTAAACCAAACTTTACCCATTTTGTGAATGATCTTAAAATATATGTAAATCTTTTAGAACAATCACAAAACAAAAAAGCACTGAAAACATGTAATGCTCTGAAAACATTTATATTTCATGTAAATTTAATTTAACTTTATATATATATATTTGTTTTTTTCTCTTTTAGAAACTATGTGAAATGTAATACCTCTCGTTCTTGTGGCATTGAGTTACTAAAAATAAATAAATAAATAAACACCCCTTGTTTCTAGAAAACCAGAGGAAATTGGTTATGTGACCACATATGTTTGAAGAGCCCTCCATTTTACCCATCCGTCCTGCAAAGAAGAGAGACACTAATGCAAACCGTTTTGACATTTAATCTACAACCCGCACTACTATCTATTTTCATGTTTACTTGTACTTATTTGTTCTAAAAAAAAAAAGTCTAAAAAAATAGTACTACTGAAAAACTACTAGTATCTATTTAATTGATAGTAGTATCTAATAAATAAGTAACAGTACCCAATGAATAAGTAGTATAATACGCAAGTTGTAGTATTTATCAAATAGGTACTATCTAATTAATAAATACTAGTCCCTAATGATTAACTACTAGTACATAAAAATATGTAGTCTCAGCTGGAATACATACAAGTCAAAACTGAACAGTTGATATCTCAATGATAGATCCCATAGAAATCAATAGAAAACAATGTAATTTGTTACTCGTCACTATTACAATAAGTACTAGCATCTCATAAATAAGTACTAATATCTAATAAAAATAACTACTAAGCACTAGTATATTTTGTATATAAAGCACTAGTATCTAATGAATAGTACTTAATCAGGGTTCAACGCTTAGGATTTTTTCCACTGGCCCAACATTGTTTATATTTTACAGAACAACTAACCACAGGATTATAGGAGCAGAAAAAGTCAATCTGTCTACATGTTTTGTGCTTTAAATGAGGAAAATAAACAGGCAATTTGGATGTGACCAAAAAAGTCTGCGAGTTTAGAGCATTAAACATGCTTTGTAGAAATTCTGTGAAATAATCTGCACAACCCCCCAAAAACTATGCTAATCAAAAGGATACGAGTTGAACCTCTGTAGAACAAACATGATTGTTTTTATTTTATTATTATTATTTTTTCATTTATGTGGAAAAAGCTTTGTCATGGGTGTGACGTCTCTCTGTTATGGATGTGACAGATGTGAAATTGCCGCTTATGTGACTTTGGTAAATCAAATATAATATTGAAAACATTGACAGATGCATTTTTGAGTATTTCTAAAGTACTGTCAAATACTTGCTTACACTAAGAACGGAGAAAGTTTCGATATTTTGGTGAAAACTTTTTTTATGGCAAAGTTGACATTTGCATGGAATTGCTCATATGTTTTTTTATAAATAATATTTACATATACATAGCGTATGTGTATAATATATATATACATACGCTATCGGCCAAAAGTTTGGGGTCAGTTCTATACATTTTTTTTCATGTTTTTTTAAAAGAAAATTCAGTTCATCAAGTTCATTAAATATAAAAGTTTTTTAAATTGTTAAATATTTATTACAATTTTAAATAACTGCTTTGTTATTAAAATTATTACACCAGACATTCATGCTTTTATTATTACCATTAATAATAATAATATTAACAATAACAATTAATACTAGAGTGATTTCTGATGACTGGAGTAATGAAGCTGAAAATTCATCTTTAAAATCACTGGAATAAATTATTAAATTTAATGATAAACTACTTTTAAACAGTTATTTTATAGTAAAATAACATTTAACAATCATATGACACTGTGATATAGCCTAGTTCATTAGTTCGTTGGACTGTTTTGTTTTCTCACTACAATCGATCAGCTTAATCAGGCAGAGATCCACCTCATTTAGGCGATCTGGGACGGATTGATTTGGTGCCGAGATTGCTGGACTCGCATATGCCAAACAAACCGTATTGTTGAATCCTTATTGTTGAGCCCTGTTTAACGAAAAAAGATACTGATATCTAAAAAACAAGTACTAACCTGAAAATAGATGAAGGGTTCAGATGGAAAAACCTCTAAATGCCGTTGAAAATGTTCACCTAAAATGAGCTTTTTTTAATCAGCCTCCTATGTTTATGTTCAGTTATTTCACTTGAAAGGCAATGAAAACTTATTCATCACTATAAAAGTGAAATTACTGAGACTACACACAGGATTCAGGGAAAAATGCTAATTTTAGAAGAAAATATTAAATGGCTTTTAGAGGGTTTTGCATCTAAACTCTTCAGATAGTGTGGGTTATAGATTAAATGTCAAAACAGCTTGCTATGATTACATTTTAGCTCTGAAAACTGCTTTTATTTTGCCTTTCAAAGCAAATTTTATATGATCAAGGTTTTTTTGATTGTTGTGTCAAAACATTTATAGACAAGCTTGACAATATCTCATGCATGCTTTAGTACTTTAGTAGGCTACACAGTAAGTCTGTACAGTTAGCAAGATGTTCTAAACTGCTGGATCATGCTGGTCTTTCATTGTCAGGCTATGGTGAATTGTGCCAAAGAGGCTGGGTTAAGTTGGCACAACTCACCCCCATTTATGATTAATTTCAGCGTATTATTTTATTTTGTGTACTGCATTCTTACATTTTACCACTTAAGCTTTGTGACTTTATCATTGTGAGCTTTGCTGGTAACAACAAATCAAATAGCTATGATGCATTGATGGAAACGATTTATGATGCAAACATCAGCGCAAAGTGTTGCAAAAATGATGGAGTCGTTCCTAGACGTGACACGCTCAAGAAACTACCCACAACCCAAAAACCTGCTGGTACAGCCAGAGGCGAGCAGAAGTTCACATTCCCCTGCAGCGTCAACAAGCGTGGTGTAAAGTAGTAGGCCAGATCTAAATAGTTGATGTTCTTTGGTTCCACTATCGCTAACAATGTATGAAACTGAGCTGTGGACGTCCTGAAAGTTGAAGGACAATTCACCAAAAACTAAATTTACCTCGTTTACTCAAGTATTATGAACACAAGTGAAGATATTTTGATGAATGCTGCTAGCTGGTACCCACTGACTTCTAGTAGCAAAAAAAAACAATAGATGTCTATCAGTGCAACAAGCAACATTCTTCAAAATATCTTCGAGTAAATAATGGCAGTTTTCATTGTAATTCTAGCACAAACTGAAGCATAAGTGTGTGTTTCCATTACAGTTTAATGCAAAACTTACATTTTCCAAAATCTGTTGTGAAATGAAGGCATTTCCATTCTAGCCATTGTTATGTGAGTAAACCTCAACATTTGCTGGTCAGACCTTGAAAAAACCCCCCAAAAAAAACGGTTCAGTAGATATTACAGTAGGTTTACTCAAACCATCGTCAACACACTCTTATTTTTCACATTATCCTACAAATGGCAGGGCAATGTGCTTTACACATTACATGATGCTTAAATATTGTTATATAAAGGCTAAATTGAGTCTGCAGTTTGTAAAAATATATTTGATGTTTTGTGTTGTTCACACTTATTGTCAGATAAACACACAGATAAAGTAGTTCAGGCATGTTTTGAGTGCATTACAGTCCCGTATTACTACGCTGAAGGATTTCAGTTATGTTAATGCAAGGAGCCGGTGTGATGAACAAAGAGCAGGAGTCAGAGAGACAGTTTATTGAAGACAATAGTTTACAGTTTGATCAACAGAAAACAGCTTCAACACACTCCATAGGGTTCATATTCTCAATTTCACAGAAATCATAGAAAGAGCAGCACACATGTGGTCAGTGACAAAATCAAATCAAATCATCAGGAATTCATAATTCTGACATGATGCTGTTTTCCGCTTCTGCTTCCCACATTGTCCACTTCCTCCTGCAAGCGTCGCAGTCAGAGCTGTATGCAAATGAGGACCGGTTAAAGCATCCTCATTGGTCCATTAGCTCTAGATTAACAGCTCCTCCTCCAGCCAATCAGGTGAGGGGGGAAGCTGACGTCACTCTAATGACTCAGAGGCGAGGACAGAGAAGTGTATAATAATTAACAATCGCTCTTAAATAACAAACTGTGACAGACAGGAGAAACTAAAGAAACCAGACATAAAGCAAACAATGAATACAAGTTGTTTAAAACAACTCTAAAAACTAAGGCCTAACCAAGCCCTAATCCTAACCTAACCCTAACAAACACCCTAACCCTAAACAATAAATCAAGCGTTTAGATGAACTGGGAAAGCAGAAACAGAAAGAAAGAGGTGAGATTTGGCCTCTTTACTGAAAGATGATTATTTCTGTTCTGTATGTCTAACCCTAAACCCTGACTGATGATAATTCATTAACAAACACGTTTAACTATCAAACCTTTAACTATCACTAACGTACTCCATAACTAGACCTCAATCTCCGGCATCACCTGTGCGCATCGGCCGCCATTAGACTGACATTTATTATTAATTAATTTATTATTTATTTATTGCCACATCAGCAACTTATGGCTATTTCATAGCAAAATGGATATACATAAAATATTACATGATAAAGACAATTTGTAAAATATAAAAATTTGTATTACAATAAAGTTACTTGTACAAATATGTAGGATATAAAAAAATAAACTTTAAGATTTAAAATACTGAAAGACTCTTTGTGGTACCTTTGTAAAA